CACGTTATGGTTATGTCTATTTGCTACATGATAAATCTCAAGCTATAAACGCCTTAGAGATTTACATTGAAGAAGTAGAAAGACAATTAGACAGTAAGGTGAAAATTATTAGATCTGATCGGGGTGGTGAGTATTATGGAAGGTATGATGAAAGAGGACAACATCCTGGTCCCTTTGCTAAATTCCTTGAAAAGCGTGGCATATGTGCGCAATACACAATGCCAGGTACACCACAGCAAAATGGTGTATCAGAAAGGCATAATAGAACCTTGTTGGATATGGTTAGGAGTATGTTAAGTAACTCTTCTTTACTTATTTCATTGTGGACTTATGCTCTAAAATCTGCCATGTATTTGTTGAATAGGGTTCCTAGTAAGGCAGTTCCAAAGACTCCTTTTGAACTGTGGACTGGAAGGAAACCTAGTTTAAGGCACCTACATGTTTGGGGGTGTCCGGCAAAAATTAGATTTTATAATCCACAAGAAAAGAAATTGGATGCTAGGACAATCAATGGATATTTTATTGGTTATCCAGAAAAGTCAAAAGGGTATAGATTTTACTGTCCAAACCATACTACAAGGATCATTGAAACTGGGAATGCTAGGTTTATTGAAAATGGTGAAGTCAGTGGGAGTGAAACACCACGCAAAGTGGAGATTCAAGAAATGAGAGTGCAAGTTCCATTAACTTGTATCTCTAATAAAGTTGTTGTTCCTCAAGTTATTGAACCAATTAATAACCATGAAGAACAACAAACTAATGATCCCATTACTCACAATGAGGTTGAAGTAAATGAACCTATAGTAGAAGAACCACAACAAATAGCATTAAGAAGATCACAAAGAGAAAGGCGATCTGCTATTCCTAATGATTATGTGGTTTATCTACAAGAGTCAGAAAATGACTTAGGAATTGAAAATGACCCAGTTACATTTTCACAGGCCATAAATGGTGATAATGCTGAGAAATGGTTAGATGCCATGAAAGCTGAGTTAAAATCTATGGAGCATAATAGGGTTTGGGACTTTGTTGAGTTACCAGAAGGTTGTAAGAGAGTTGGTTGCAAGTGGGTCTTTAAGACCAAACGTGACTCTCATGGTAACTTAGAATGTTACAAGGCCAGACTAGTTGCTAAAGGATTTACTCAAAAGAATGGCATTGATTATAAGGAGACATTTTCACCAGTCTCTAAGAAAGATTCTCTCAGAATTATCATGGCATTAGTAGCTCATTATGATTTGGAGTTACACCAAATGGATGTGAAAACTGCCTTTCTAAATGGAGATTTAGAGGAAGATGTATATATGGATCAACCAATGGGATTCATAAACAAAGGAAAAGAACACATGGTGTGTAAACTTAAGAAATCAATATACGGACTTAAGCAAGCTTCCCGACAGTGGTATCTCAAGTTCAATGATACCATTATGTCCTTTGGATTTAAGGAAAACATTGTTGATCGATGTATATATCTAAAGGTCAGTGGGAGTAAGTTTATTTTTCTAGTTCTGTATGTTGATGACATCTTGCTTGCAACTAATGATCTTGGTCTTTTAACTGAGACTAAGAAGTTTCTCTCTAGAAATTTTGAAATGAAAGATATGGGTGAGGCAAGTTATGTGATTGGAATAGAAATATTCCTGGATAGGTCACAAGGATTGCTAGGCTTGTCTCAAAAAGCATATATTAATAAAATTTTAGAGAGATTCAGAATGGAAAGATAACGATGAATAGTAACAAAAAAAAATAACATTAATTAAGATCATGATGAATTCCATAGGATGACAACAAAGATGAAAATAAAACGATGATAGCTAGGAAACAATGTTTTTGCTTGTAAGCCTTCTTAATGCATCAAACACATGTACCCCAAAATTAATGTTTGTGTTTTATAATTAATGCAGGTATTTTTTTTTTTATGAAAAAGTTTAGATGAGATAGATTTTGAGATTTATCATAGTGCCTTAAGACTTTATCAACATTAATAAAGATACTTACAGACTATTTATAAATAATATCATAAATTAATATGAGTCTGTTTCTTATTGATTTAATTAATTTTTATAAGTAATGCAAATGTCTTTTTTTTAACTTTCCAAAATTTCTATATAAAGAAGTTCCTTAACAACTATATCCTTCCTCCTAAAATTAATTATTTGTGTTACTTTGCTTGTTATTGCACAGTTTATCTAATATTTCTAAGTTTTGACAATTGTCTTTCATAAAATTATTGATATAACCGAAATAAGACATATAAGTAAAGAAAATTATTATTTGACAAACTAATTATGTAACATTTAGTTTCTCCATAACTACATTCTTAAGACTTCACATCTCTATTTCTGTTTTTTAAAAGGGAGGGATGATATGTCTTTTCACCTCATTATTAATTCCTTCAAAAACACTGATTTTTTTTTTTTGAATGTCGTTTTGGAAAAAAAAATGTTAAAACATCTTTATTAGTGTAATTATAGAATTGTTTAATTTATTCTTGATGGATCTTATAATGTCAAGAAATTTTAAGAATTTCAACATTTTTTTTCTTCCATCAATGCATTTTTTTTTAATTTAAAATGTGTCTTACATCTCACAAATTTTTAAAACTCATTAAAAATTATAATTTATATTAGTAAAATTGAGGTATTTCGTGGTTATATGTATTTTGTGTTGAAAAATAGTGTCTTTATGAAAACAAAAGTGTCTCTATGAATTTTGTTTATAAATATGAAAAAAAGATTGCAGTTATTTATTATGAAAGATAAATAAAAAAATGAACCATCATATAATTAGTGAAATTTCGGTACTTAAAAAATAATTTAAATTTTTGAATAAAATAAGAAAAGACAAAACATTTCGTATTAAGTTATTTTTTTTAATATAATGTATAGATAAACAACTCTTTTTAAAACTGCAAAATGAATTGTTCTAATAAAAAAATGCTCTCGATATATATTGCGGGATGATATGCTTTCCACCTCATTATTACTTCTTTAAATATATACCGAAAACCTTTTGAATTTGTCACTTTGAAAACATGTTGGTAAGTTTAATAATGCATTCATGATGGAGTTTTTTAACTCATGTCGGTTGGTCCAGTAATGTCACACATGATTTAAAATTTTCAACAATTTTTCCTTGATAATACAATTCTTTAAAAAAAAATAATACGGATCTTTCATTGATTTTAACGCGTAATTACACTTAGAATTATTAAAATGGGTTATAATATGAATCAATTCAATTCATCACGAATTTGAATTAAGTTACGTTAAATTTTTTTTTTTAATATATTGTGGATAATTTAACCGATTTATTTAGAATCTGACTCATCTAAAATTGAATCCGAGACTCACATATACATATAATTTATTTTTATTTTTTTAATTAAAGTACCTTTTTAAACATTATCTTCTTCGATCAAACATATTTTCTTAGTTTTTAAATGAACTCCACAAAAATCTTACATTTTTACATATCATCAATCGTTTATTTATTAACTTATTTTTTTTATTGTTATAAATTAAAAGATTTTTTAATTCTACTATTTTTAAAAATATTTTTTCATGATACAAAATAAAAAAAATGTAACTAACTCAACTTTTATTTAATTGAGAGTAGATAAAATTGACTTAATTTTTTTTAAGAGACAAAGAGTGAAAGAGAAATAAAAAATAGAAAGTTGGTGAGTAAAAATATACGAGAAATTTTATTTATACAAGTATTGATATATAAAATTATAGTAAAAATTAATTTTACAACATTAATTTTATAAGATTCAGATAATTTTATAACATTATAAAATAATATTAAAAAACAAATGTTAAAAAATATATTATAATATTGATTTTTAACTAAAGAAATTCAGAAGTAGCGGTAGTAATGATAGATGTTGGACAAATAGATGCAGACAAGCATCAGTCGGGGTATAAGAAGCCCTGATACGAAGTGTATAAACAAGATTAATATTTTTTATGATAGACATTTAATATCCTTTATACACACAAAATTATAAATAAAAAGATGGGAAAAAGATAATAAATATTATTTTAACATAAATAATAAAAATCGTTATTTATGTGTTGAAAGACTTAAAGTGAAACATTACCATTAAGGATGTATTTGGTGAAGAAAAAAAATAGGTGATAAATATAATAGAAGTAAAAATATTTGATTTAAGAGAAATAAAATAATAAAGTAAAAATAAACAATGAATCCATACTTTCTTTTTTGTCCTATCACATTTTTTTTCCAACTTATTAAATTAGAAATTAGTTCTATCATATATTTTTTTTCCAGAAGCTAATTATGATCATGATAATAAGTGAATAAAAAAATATATACATGACAGAAATATTTATTTTTTTCTTTAATTTTTTTTTATCAAGCATAAATAATTTTTTAGTTCTCACTCATCATTCTCCTTTTTACTCTAATTCTTTACCAAACAAGAATAAATGGAAGAATACTAGCTCTTAATCTATTTGTCTCTCACCAGTATCATATCAAAATTTTAAATCCCTATTAAAAAAGCATAAATGGGAGAATACTAGCTCTTAATCTATTTATCTCTCACAATTATCAAATAAAAGTTTTAAATCCCTATTGAAAAAGGGTTCACAGTTCATACAGGACTTATCTTAAATAAATTTGTTTCTGAAGAAATCACTTATGAAAATAAAAAAGGCCTTGAATTGATTTATTCACCTTAAATTTTTCTGTCTCTTGTAATTATAAACTTGTGCAAAATTCATTTTCAAAAATAAATTCTCTTGATTAGATGCATTCCACTTGTTCATTTTACGGATCATCCGGCAGTCACAAATAAGCAGCTCTACGAGTCTATGACTAGGACCACACGTACGAATATCTTAAAAACCTTAGAGGCAACTCCAACTACAACTCGATCATTCGATGTGGGACTTCCACAACCACACGCATGGCAAGGTGACCCCACTCTTCCTTATTCTCATACGTAAGATCGATCTAACGAAATCCTTATCTTCGCGTCCACCCTTTCACCAACTCTACCCTCCTCCAGTCACTTCCTTTTCCATGGTCCAACACATTAAGTGCTAATGCTGTCTTTTGTTTTTCACCTTCATTTTTTGTGTTCCTCTTCAACTTGATCCAACCTTGCACTCATATTTTCTGCTCACAACAACTAAGCAGTTCACACTACAGGAAGGGTTGTCTTGTCGGGTTGTGGTTCTAATATTGTTTCATATTGGTATATATGGTCTTTCTCTGTACCCCATTTCCAAGAGGAAGAGAGAGAAGAGAAGAACATGAAAATTCAGTGTGATGTGTGTGAGAAAGCCCCGGCAACTGTGATTTGTTGCGCAGATGAGGCAGCTTTGTGTGCCAAATGTGACGTGGAAGTTCATGCTGCTAACAAGCTTGCAAGCAAGCACCAAAGGCTTCTCCTTCAATGTTTATCAAACAAGCTTCCCAGATGTGACATATGTCAAGTACTTTCTTTACTTTATGTCCATCTTCTAGTTTTTATGATGTTATTCTTGTTCTTGGATCGATGAGTGGATCATTTAATTCTGCCAATTCTTTCACTCACAATAGATATCACTATGTTTTGTTTTAAATGAGAAGGAACTAGGTTATCTAGGAGTGTAGTTGTAACCTAAGTTACTAATTAAATACCAAAGATTGATATATGTAAAAAAGGACACCAGATCTAGATTTTATAAATTGAATCTGTTTGACATGTTTTTAATGGACCAGTCAAGTACTCCCATGGCACACAAGAATTTATATCCCGATAGAGGGTGTTTGAGAAAAATTCATAGCAGACTTAGCAGTTCAGTGTAAGGATTGTAACACTTGATTCCATAATCCTTATAGTTAGTTTTTATTGTCTTGATCATATGATTTTTCTTTATGCTTCTTGAAAAAACAAGTTTCTGATGTTTTAAAGCACCAAGTTTATGAAAGAGCTAACTAATGTTAGGGATACTGTATTGTTTTCCAAAACCTTAATGATCTTTGATCATTTCTGTTATTCTAATTTCAATTTCACCAACTTAAATATGGATTTTTAAATTTGTCTTGTGAAAATTTATAAATAAAGAAGAGACCATTAAGGGTGAGCATGTTAGTTGTCCAAAAAGTTGTATGATTAATTTAGTATCTGAATGAATAAATTTCTCCAGAAGCAATTAAGGAGAAAAAAATAGAAAGGAAAATCTATATAATATTTTTTATATGTTCAAACTAACTTATGCATATGTTAAAAATAAGAGTCTAAAGAAACTAATAAAAGAAAATTTTTATAATTAACTTATGTATAAGTTTATTTTAATTTATGAAAAAAATTTATTTTATTTTATTTTTCTTATTTCTCCTCTCTAACAAGTACGTGTAGAGAAGTTTATTAAATAAACTCTTAATTGGTTTCTCTACAAACACGAACGGATCCACATGGATCATAGTGGGGACATTTGCACCCCCTAACATTTTTTTTATATTTAATTAGTTTATATATATATATATATTATTAAGGTTTAGATATGTTTTTATTTTCTTAATTTTAAAATTGTTGTTTTTAGTTTCTATAACTTTTAAAAATATTATTTTAGTCTTTCATGTTATCAATAATCAATAATATATATATATATATATATAATAAATTGGGATAGTAATATAATATCAATTGGATTTGATGTGATATTTTTACTTGATAAAGATTTCGGTAGTTAGATTTTAGGTAGCAATATTTTATGGATTTTCTAACAAAATTTGAGTATAAAAATTAAAACAATTTTTTTTGAAATTACAAGAATTAAAAATATCAATTTTCAATTTGAGGGACTAAAAATAAATTTACTTTAAATTTGAGATATTAAAAATATATTTAAACCTATTATAAATTTATAATAATGTAATCGCACTTGCCATGTTAAAAACTAAGTGTTCCCACTCTTTTCTGTATTTTTATTTTATTAAAAAAGTCAAAGTTAATATATTAAGTTTTTGAAGTATTTCTTCATAGTATACATAATATATTTTGCCTCGTATTGAGAGTCATGTTTGAAAAAAAAATCTTCAAATAAGTGTCATGTTAGCTTTTCAATATAATATTAATTATCTTTGTTTTTCATTTATACTCTTCATAATATTTTTTAGAAAGTGAATATTGTATTGCATTGTTTATAGTAAAGAAGATTAATCATAAGATTTCTTATTTCTAACTTTTATAAAACAATCTAAAACGATACTTATTATGAGACAAAAAAAATACTAATTATAGTTAAATCAAGCCAATAAAGAGATTAAAGAGTGATGATTGACCTAAATTCATATTATACTATTTTTAAAATGAAAAAAAAGTCAAAATTTTGATACGGGATATAAAAAGAGATATTTTTAAAAGTGTTGAAAATGAGAAAATCATTCAATATTTTTAAAATATGAAATCTCATAGAAAACAATTTGATGTATATTTATATTTAAAAAAAATGTGAAATTATACATTTAATACTACAAATTCATGTATGAATATTGCACCCCTACTTAAAATTTTTGAATCCGTCACTACTACAAGCTTGTGAAAAATAATTACGAGCTGTTTGAGTTTACAATTTTCACTAGAACTTGAGCTGTATGGAGAGCCGGATTAGTTTATTTGATTTTGAAGTAGAGAATGAGTTGAAACCTGTGTTGCACATGGACAATTTTATTAATTCTTTTTCCTACATGTAACTATAGGATAAGGCAGCTTTTATATTTTGTGTTGAGGACAGAGCACTGTTCTGCAAAGAGTGTGACGAACCGATTCATGTAGCTGGTAGCCTTTCTGCAAACCACCAGCGCTTCCTTGCTACTGGTATCAGGGTGGCGTTGGGTTCTAAATGCACCAAAAGCAATGAAAAGGGTAACGTGGAACCATCTAATCCAAATGCACAACAAGTTCCTGTTAAACTTCCTTCTCACCAAGTGCCTAGCTTCACATCCTCTTGGGTTGTTGATGACTTGTTGGAATTAGCAGACTTCGAATCACCACACAAAGTAAGGCTTCTTTATTTCACAGTTTTGGTTGCATATATAAGTTAAGAAAATTGATTTTATTTTTTATTTTTTATTTTTCATAAAAGAACCTAGCATGATTAGTGTTCCGAATGTAACCTCTTCTAAAAAGATTTAGTCACTGTCCCAGTTTAGAGTATTTAAAAGAGTAATTGAATCTATTCATTAGATCCGATTACACTTTAGTTGGTCAGTTTTGGTTGGCACAAGCCGATTATCATGTGTCATGTGACCAACATAGCTTGTGAAAATAGGACAATTTGGTGTATAATGTCAGGGTAGGGTATTTTGGCATTTAATTTTGCTTTTTGGGTTAAAATTTTTCTAAGTTCTATGTTGTACATTATGACCCTTGTTTCTAGTTTATTTGATTTTTTTATGTTTGTAAATAATACTTGTGATTAATTGGTCACTTAATTATGATGTTCCTTCTATGTCTTGTTATAATGTTTGGAACTTTTTTTTTCCTTGTTCAGAAGCAATCCCTGGAGTTTGGAGAGCTTGAATGGCTTACAGATGTGGGGCTTTTCAGTGAACAAATTCCTCAAGAAGCTTTAGCAGCGGCTGAAGTTCCTCAGCTTCCAGTGACACATGCTAGCAGTGTTGCCTTACACAAAATCCCTAAATCCGTTATGTCTTTCAAAAAGCCTAGGGTTGAAGTCCTGGATGAAGATGACGATGAGTACTTCACTGTACCTGATCTTGGTTAAAGCCTAAAGCACATGTCCATGTAGACAATTACATAAATTTGTAGGATGATGAATTGTATATGCACACTAGGTAGAGATGATGAAACACTTCAATGTGCCTGTTCTTGGATGAAGCACCTGAACATGAGGACTATATTGCATAAGTATGTAGATTGATGAGTTGCATATGCATACTTCTTCTAGTTGTGTGGAATTGATAAATATATCATTTTCAAGAGTTTGGAATGGTTCGATCTTGGAATAGCGTGTAGATTAAATTTTCCTCGATCTATGTGATCATTTTAATATTCTAGAGTTGTTCACACCACATGATGCTTTTGTTGAAGAGCATTTTGGCCTAATCTCTGCAGCGAGGGTGTGTAGTACTTCTATTCAAAATCCTTTATTCTACAATGTCATAGCAACTTTATCTATCTTGTTTCTTCAAAACATCAAGAGGATGAATAAATTCCTTATCATAAAAACCAAATTCCATCCGTTTATATTTTTTGTTCTATTAAATGTATACGTTTTTATGCATTTTTTTATTATGAAATGTTTGGAAAATGGTGTAAAAGAACATATCTTTGATCGGACTAAACTAGTCAAAGAGTCTTCTAATTTCAAGAGTAAATTACATAAACTATCATTGAAATTTTCTAATGCGTCACTCGATACCCTTTTTATTAGAACATTACTTTTACCTTCTTATCCAAACGAAACAATGTTAACTCACTGTTACTGTTATATAAAGGATTTAAAAATAAAAAATTGTCAATATTTGTAATAAATCATATTTTCCCTTCAAATTTAAAGCATCAGAATTTGTATTCTTGTAAGGAAAATCAAGCATTGGAGGTAAATGATTCAGAAGAAAATGTTGTTGATGAAGCAAAGGAGGGGATCATATGTAGAAGCAAGGAGTCATGCAGTTAACCTTTCTGGTTTTTGTTGTATGTTTTAATAAGCTTTAAGCTTGTCAGTAGTACCAAAGTCACAAACTAACCATAGAACTTAGGCAGCCAACAACCTTTTAGAAGGGTGAAGGGATTCACATATTGAACTAATAATGATGCTTCAAATATTTCCATTCTGTCGGCTGTCTCATGTAGGAGAGTTAGAAGTATGAGTATAGGATGATGATTTCATCAGTCAGTTGCAGTATTATCCATTAGATAAAAAGGATAAACAAAGGCCAAATAAAAATCAAGGTGCTCTTGCCCTTTACACCAGTTATTTACAATTAGTCGTCTGCTTAACATTTTGATAAAATGCAATTTTACAATGATAATTGTAAACAAGGTGCTCTTGGCCTTTGCAGGGCCTTGTCTCCAACAATTATCAGTTACCTATTCTACACGCCTATTCAAATTGTTGGGTATGAGCCCCTAAGAAGTGTGATTTTTGCAGATAATCTTCGATCTCTATGGTGGAATATTTGGTGTTGTGACTCAGGAGAGAACCATGTGATCTGAAAATGTGTTATGTATTTCTACATAATTCAATTCTTGTTAATTTAGCTATTTATCTATGGATATTTCTACATATTTTGGCAACTCTAAGTGAGCGCTTTAACTTAAAGCAAAAACTCAGATTACTCCAAGCGAGCACTCTAGCTTAGAGAAAAAATTTTGCTAACTTCAAATGAGTGCTATAGCTCATAGCAAAATTTTTGCTAGCTCTAAGCGAGTACTCTAACTCAGTGAAAATTTTGGTAGCTTGAAGGAGTGCTCTAACTCAAAATGAAAATTTTGGTAGCTTGAAAGAGTGCTCTAGCTCAAAGCAAAAGCTAAGATTGCTTTGAACGAGTACCCTAGCTTTTAGCAAAAGTTTTGGTAACTCTAAGTAAGTGTTATAGTTCATAGTAAAAAAAAATTAGCTCTTAGCAAGTACTCTAGTTCAGAGAAATTTTTTTGATTAGAAGTAAATTACAAAATAATTATTGAAAAAAAATGAACAAAAAGACATAAATAAGGATAGAAAAAGCTACATTTTGGTTATTTCAAAGCTAACCAACTCTATTAAAATAAAACTATTTTTGGATAATTTTTAGAATCCATTTAACGAAGATGGATAGCACATTTGAGATATAATGTCATTAAGTTGTCACCTACATCTTAGCATTATTATTGAACATTTAGAAACCATTTAGTAAAAAATAATATCAATTAATTTCAACTACTACTCTAACTAGTTGAACGAATTAATGATATGAAACTTATATATTTTAAGTAATATTTTGAAAGGTTAATATATTTAATTAATTAAACTTCAATATATTTTGAGTGATATTTTAGTGACTTATATCAAAATGGATTTTACTCAGAATTAATCTTGTTGTCTAAGTGTCATCTTATCATTTAAGAATTGTTACACTTTATACCATTGACATGGTAAACGATGATTTTAGAAACATTTTTTTTATATAATTATAAATATAGTATTTCACAATATGTTTATTGAACCCAATAAATGCAAATAAAGATTGAAAGTTTTGCATGTACATAAGTCATTGAGAACAATAGTATGACTTGTATCAAGCTACTTTTATTTTTTATTATTAAAAGTTTGAGAGTTTAAGATAAATCGTGATTCATAATTAATCGTGAAGATAAATAAGAAGTATAACAAAACTTTGATTGATCTGGTATTTAATTTGATTTATAAAAATATAAAAATTACATGATAAAACAAGCTTTTAATAATAAAAAGACAACAATTTGAAGAAATTAATTGCTGGGCGAGCTAGTAAGGACTCAAATTTTCATTCAAGCAATCATCTCAAAATTTGGAAAAACCCCAAATCATATGTTATTACCGTTAATGCAGAATGGGGGTACAATGAAACAAGAAGGAAAACCGAGAAATAAAATTCATCTTCAGTAGATAGCAAGCAACTCCAACGGAAAAGTGAAAAGGATATATATAAAAAAGAAAAGCAAAAGATAGTAGCACTAAATTTCTATGCCTCGTTGATCAGATTGAGGGCATCAGCCTCTGTGGGAAGTGCGGGAATTGCTCCCTTTTTAGTAGTTGTAATTGCTCCACATGCATTTGCAAACTTTAGCACTTCCCTTAACCTTGGTTCATCCTGCAGTTAAAAACATGAAAATAAATCAATCGCAAAAAAATCATGAAAAAATGATGGGAATCTTTGCAGAAGATTCGAAAACGGCTAACAATAACTTCATTTTCAATGAGACAGCTAATTTGAAGCTAAAGCACTCACTTCAAGTATGGATTGATCATCGACAATCTTGCTTAATAGAGCACCAACATACGAATCACCAGCGCCGGTTGTATCAACTGTGTTGACATGAAAAGCCTCCACCGATCCATGGAAATTCTGGTATGTGCAGAAAATTAAAGGACAACATTTATTACAAGTTGAAAAGGGTAATCAGCCATTTTAACGGCCTTAGGCCACAGCACATGGATGAATATAGCTCATAAAGAAGAAAACCATGTTATATAGAATCGCAATTTGGAACAAGAGGAGCATAAACAAGTTGGTCCGGATCCCCTAAACAACGTATCTAAGTTCAAATTTTGTGGATGAAAAAAAATATAATCATATAAAAATACTTCACTAAAAGTAGTTAGTTAGGTTTTCAAGTTGGATGTACCAATAACAGTTATAAAAAAAAACTTAAAATTTAGGAAAAATAAAGAAAAGTAAGGTGAGAAACATAGTGAACCTTGGAACCAAGGAAATTTCACGCATTAAAACGACTGTATGCCTACCATCCATTGACAGCTAACCAAACATGTAAAATGTAATGGACAGAAGCTAGGACTAAAGAAAATTGAAGGGTGGACAAAATACAGAAAATGTTTGGAAAGTAAAAAATTGAAAGTGTAGGGAGTGTTGTTGTTTACCTTGGTATAGTACCTAGAACCATGTTCCCCAAGAGTAACAAGGAGTAACTTCAAATTGGGGTGCCACAAAGAGAGAGCAGATGCATCATCAATTCTGTCACTTCCGGTTAGGAATTCGAGTTCCACGTCGCTCACCTTGATCACATCAGCCTTGTCCCATATGCTTAGTATTTGCTGACGCGCTTCCTCGGCTGAGGGCCACAATGGTAGCCTCAAGTTTGGGTCATAAGAGAGCAGGCACCCTGCTTCCTTCGCAACTTCCATCGCCTTCAAGTGTGCCGATCTGCATGGCTCCACGATCAAGCTTATCGATCCATAGTGGAATACTTTTGCCTGCTCACATTCAATCATTCCACATAATGTTCAATATTTTTAGACACTCGTTCAATCACAAATTATCATAAAGGACAATTTTGTTAACTTTTAGCCAAAAATACATTTTTCGTCTCTTATTATGATCAATTTAGTTTTACTTTAATTAATTAAATCAATTTAGTCTCATATTTTTAAAATATATCTCAATGTTTCACTTTCTATTTAAATATTTAACGGATGTGACACGTGTCATGCTATCATATTACGTGACATGACATCATAACATGTGACAATGCACATGACACAATGACATGACACATGATATAACATGTATCAAATCTGTTAAGTATTTAAACAAAAAAAATAAAAAAATCAAACATTAAAATACATTTTAAAGATGTGGGACTAAATTGATACAATAAATAATATAAGACGAAAAATATAATTTTAACTTACTTATAATAAATGTGTTAAACAGGATACATTTTTTTTTAAGTTAATAAAGCAATAAATACATATCCGTACCCATAAATCACGTTAAAAATTGAGGACACGTTTATTATATATCGAAAATCACTTCCTCGCGTCATACACGATTCAATATATAATTTATGACTAATATTAAATAATACCAGATCTCATTAATTATCATTAATCCAAAACAATTCTATTAAAAACAATTAAATTAAAATTAAATAAAGTCAACAGGCGCGTGAGGACAAGGTCAGAGAGAAAGACAACAGCCACAAGTCAAAGTAGATGACAACAGACAACAGGATAGAGTTCCGTTACAGCTCCCACCCTCGACCAAGCGCGTGAGAGGCCGAGATTTTTATTTTTAAATTAAAATTTAAAAAATTGTGATAAATATCCGTAAAAGCAAAATAAAATTGAAGTTTGTTTTTTTTTTTTAAAGTACGTTTGAAGAAAGGAAACAGTGGATCCATAATGTGGAAGTGGGTGTGGGCCCGACCCGAAATGTCATCCAGTTGGGCCAAAGTCTCAACGAAAACAGGAAAAACACGTGACAGAGGTCACGTGACAGGCCACCAACCAAACCAGCTTTTGCGATCTGATATGATTGCGATTTGCAAGAGAGAAGAAAACGGAGAAATAATTTAGAATTATTATTTTTTTTTTTTTTAAAAGTTGCTTCGTCAGCATAATCGATTATCCAAAAATAAAGCCCACGCGCGCGTGAAACGCAAACACAAAGTGAAGAACTGCGTACCGATCTGATGAGTTCGAGGTTGAGATCTTCCGGCGTGAGAAGCATGTCGGCGCTGGGGTTTCTGTAGAACATGAACTCACGCTCTCCGTCGGCGCGTAGGGTCACGAAGGCCAGTGCGGTGCGCGCGCCCTCGTCGAACTTGATGCCGTCGGCTTTCACGTTGTTCTCCTGGAGGATTCCGGCCAGCATCTGCCCGAACTCGTCGTCGCCCAGCTTGCCGATGAAGGCGGCTTTTCCGCCGAGCCTGGCGACGGCGATGGCGACGTTGGCGGGGGCGCCGCCGGGAGCCTTGAGGAAGCCCGGAGCCTCGGCGAGGGAGACGCCGGAGACGGTGGGTACGAAGTCGATGAGCATCTCGCCGAAGCTGACGATGAGGCCGGCGCCGGTGGGAGGAAGGGCCATGGTTTTGGTGTTTGGAATGAATGAATTGCAGAGTAGAAGAAGAATGCAAGGTTGAGACTTTGGTAGTGTTTATATAATGAGGAAATAAGTGATTAAGATAACTAAATCAAACAATGCTTTCATTATCTTTAATTATTTTGTTACAAGTTAGTATTTGTTTTTAATTTTAACCATTTTTTTCTAATATTTGTTTAGGCCACGTCACAATAAACATCTCCGAAAACATCAAGCGTGTGGTTCAATGGTAGGGGTTGATCCACGCTTAAGTAAGGTCAGGGGTTCGAATCCTGCCTTGTGTATGCAGCCGCGTTAAATCTTGAGGCCAGCTATCTCACTCTTTGAGGTGCCTCCAACGTAGAGATTAGTCATTGCTGTCGACGGTGGATACTCCAGGGACGAACCAAAAAAAAAATAAACATCTCCAAAACCATTTTAACAAAGAAAATGATAAATAGAGATAAGTTTCATTGAGTTTAAATTAGTCTTTAAGTCTTAACTTATACAAAATTTAAAATAAGATTATATGGTTTATTCAATTAGAAAATTTCTATTTATCCACACGTCTTTAATATTATGAATGAAACAAACAAGTCAGTTAGATAAAAATTGAAAAAGAAAAAAGATGAATATATTTTAAGATAATTGGATTAGTGTTATTTTAAACTGAGATAAGTATATTATTTCAGGTAAATGGAAGAAGTTCTATTCAAAATAGGATGGGATATTAGGTAAGCCACTTTAGACGATTGACATTTAAACTGTGATTCCTTTGTAGGACTTTTTTACTGAACCTGCCCACTTTAATTAATAAGTACAATATTCTTCTTAAAATGAATAATACAAATAAGTATATTATTCCATGAATAACAGAATCTTATCATTAATATAATAGCAATCTGACCTTTTTTCTTTCTTTCTTTTTTTTAATATATACAGGACGATTGATCGAATAAAGATATTGCCCCTAACAAAAGGTAAGACAAATTCTTATTTTAGGCCTCTCAAAAAATTATTTATTATTGATTCTTTTTTGTAAGGCTTCTGTTTTTTTTCACTCTCTAACTTGAAAATTATTTAGCCATTAGTTTTATCTAAATAAAATATAACTTAATTTAAAGGTGGTAAATCCAGAATCTTATTAAAAAGGAGGCTAAAATATTTTTTAATAATAAATTTAAATGAATATTAAATTATAGTTTTTAAATACATAATCCTATTTATCTAACTTATCAACATGTTTCTTTAAAATCACAAAATCGTCAATAATTAAAATAATAAATATTTCAATATAATTATATATTTAGTATAATAAATATTTTATTATAAAGAATCAAATAAAAGATTTTATTATAATTTTTTTTTTCAAAGAGTCCAGAGGGGAGAAGCCTTGCCTCCTTGAATCCATCTCTATTAATATATTGATTCTCACATTAAAAATTAATTAGTCATTAGTTTTAATTAAACAAATTATCTATTACTGTGTCAATTCTCATCGAATTTAGCTCATGTTTTTCAATTAACAAGGTGTCATCTCCAATTTTTTTAGACTTAAAAATATGTTGAATTCTCCCTGATTATAGCTATACAGTAAAATTATTAATCAATGCCAACAATAAGTAAAATACATAGAAATGACAATATTTATTTGTAATCATTGTATAATTCAATTACAACATAACATAAATTTATAAATAAAAATAACACAGGATTTTGTAAAAAAAAAAAAAAAAGTATCATATGAATTTTGTAATTAAATAAACATACATAAAAAGGAGATATAAAATCACATCAATTATCAATATAACTTACACCAATTAACTTTATACTATATTGATTGTTTGTAACAGATTTTACAAAACTTAAGTAACAATTAAAAAATAATGAAAATATTCATATTATATATATATATATATACACAATATTTTAATTAAATGTATACACATATTTTTTTATTCATAAAAATTGAATTTGATATAAGAGAGTTTATAAAACTTACATATTATGCTTAATGAAGTTAACTAGACTCTTATCTTATAAAAAAAATTGTGAGAATGAAAAATAGAATGATGTATATTTGTAGTTTAGTAGTGTTTTAACATTTGTTTTTATTTAACTATGAATATAATTTACATTGTGTTTTGATAATTAAAAATTAATTACACTTATTAGGTGAGAGCAACAAATGAATTATTTTGAAGATTAATTGATTTGGATCAAGGAATAGAAGGGGTGCGAGATCTGATGATAGTTAAATGGAATTGGACAGTATAACAAAGCAAATAACGTGCCTTTGAAGAAAAGCTGCACTTTTCAATTGCTCCCCACTCTCATTCTCAACACTTCCCTCGGTCCTACTGCAACTAAATGTGGCTGTCAAATTAAACCTTAATTTTTTAAATTGATAATATCATTTTTATCTAAAATAAAATATAGTTAATTTAGCAACATTTTATGAATTAATTAGGGAGACTAATCAGCGCATAGATCAACTTATGTTTGATTGTTTTTATAGCACTAAGATGAAGAGTGATTTCGATTTCAGATTTTGAGAATAAAATTATGTTAAATATTTGAAGAGAATGTTTTGTTGTTTGTAATAATTCTATGAGGCTCAAATAATATTATCTTTAGTAAATGATACTTGTGTAGTATTAAAAAAAAGGTTATTTTGGGTGAGAATTGATATAATAATAAGTAAGAGACATGTTATTTAATTTAAATTAATAATTAATTGACTTTAATTATAAATTAAAAATAAATATTAGGTTCAAATTTGTTAAAAGAAAGGTTTTAGTTCAAGTATCACGTATTTCTTTATTCTTTTTAATTTTAAAATATTTAGTAAGATTTTGTTTCTATTTAGTTATCATTTTAAAAGTTAAAGATTATATTAATTATTATTTTTTAGTTATCACTTGTATCTCACATAAATTTTAATTAATTTATACATCAATACTTAATATGCATTTGTTAGATACTCAAAATGTAAGAGCACATAAATAGAAAACTTCAACATCATTTTATGAAACAATAAATTTATTACATTTTTTAAATTTATGTAAAATAACTCTAAACGAATATTATAAGTAAGGTCAGGGGTTTGAATCCTGCCTACGTTGGAGTCACTCATCAAATGTGAGGCGAGAGATGAGGAAACGATGAAAGACGAGAAAGCGCGTTCTAATTAAATAAAGAAAATGAGAATAGTGTGTGTGAGAGAGAGAAAGAGCAATCGATCGGCAAAAGAGAGATGAATGTGAGGAATTTGTAGAAAGGGAAAACCCTAGGAGTTGAACCACGTTTAAGTAAGGTCAGTGATTCGAATTCTACCTTGTGTATGCAGCCGCGTTAAATCTTAGGGCCAACTATCTCACTCTTTGAGGTGCCTCCAATATAGCGAGGAGATTAATTACTGCTATCGACGGTAGATACTCCAGGAACGAAAAAAAAATGAATATTATAAAGAAATAGAAGTAAATTTATTACATTCTTTCCCAGATGTATTCAAAAAGCTGTGTGCGTTATATTTCAATTATTTCTTTCTTGCTTAAGCAATAAAAACTTAAGTAATACATTTATTATTATTTTTCCTCCTATCCATGAACAAAAATTTATGGGTTAGTTCAGAAATTTAAAATAAAAAAACATATATAAATAAAACATATATAAATGTCACATTTTATTTAATGATTTTCTTTTTCCTAATTTTATAATTTTTAAGTGTGCTGTTTACTTGTTAACCATCCTCTTTCCATCTCGTTTCATGTTATAAATAAATTAAACAACTTAGCAAGGAAGAAAACATTTTTTTTTAATGTTTTCGATTCCTTCTTCTCCTTTTAGTGTTAGAAGAATATTTATCATAGTCTGTAATATAAAAATGTGTTCTGATGTAAATTTATACTTTATAGTTTTAATTAATTTAAACACACAACTTAGTTATATTCAATGATTTAATATAATTTTAATTTAAACAGATGTATATGATGAAATGAGTGGAACCAATAGCCTAGGACTAGGAATTATGATAAGCAGGGCTTTGTCAGGTGCCATTTTCAATATAATTAGGATTAAACAACACTTTAATACTGCTCACCACACATCCACTGTAGTATTAAGGCGCCAAATAAATATAATTTAGGGAAAAAATGAATTTTAATTTTTTTTTTAATGTGATTGAGATTTTTGTATTTTAAATTGATGAATTTAATTCTTAATTTAAAAAATATGTAAATTTAATTTAATGATTTTTAGGAAAATTAAATCCATAATTTTTTTGAAAATTAATTACTAAATTTGGATTAAGAATTGGGATGGAAATTGGGAAGCACGTGGCTGATGGCTCAGTCAGATCCAAACTCTAAAAAGGTTGATGGCCTCAAGCCCTCATCTCGACAAGGGACAAGTTGCTGCTTTTTGAAAAGAAATTAAAAACCGTCCTCTCTTTTATTTTTATTTTCAATTCGAGCTTATCTAATTAGTAAGGAGTTGCTTAAATTTAAGCATAATTCTTAAAAATTGGTTACATATGAATTAAAAAAAATACTATTTAAAATTTAATGTCCTAATGGTGAAATAAAAATAATACAAAAAAATGTATAAAACAATGACTTGTTTAAAAATTACATTGTTAGAAAAAAAAAATATTAATGAATTATTCAAACTAACATTTTAGTATGGACACATAAAAATAACATATGTTTAATTTATATTATTAAAATTTATAGTAAATATTTTTTAAAATGTAACTATATTTTAGATTTTTGATAAATAATTTATTTTATGATATAAACTTAATTTTAATTTCTGATAATTTCTTTTAAAGAATATTTGAAGTTTTTTTTATAAATAAAGATGAACAAATAAATTAAAAGAGATAAAATTTTAAAAAAAAATCTCAAAAAATATTTTCATTAGATAAAACTTTCCAAAAACACTATCATTAAAATAAAACCTTTTTAAATATTTTTTTTTTTTGCAATGATGAAAAATATCTCAAAGATTGTCAGAATTAATCATACTTTTACTATTCCAACCTCTTTCCTCCAATCACTATTCTAATATAGAGGTTGAGATACCAACATTATTATCATAAGTGATAACAACTAATATTGCTTAACCAAGTTGTCTACAATTCAAATCTTAATTTTAGATATAAAATAAACTATATTAAAATAAATAATATTTTATCTTGTATACATTTCTAATCTCCAACAAAAATTAGTCATTGCTTCCAACATTAAATACTTTACTTTATAGCAATATTATGTTACTCTTTGAAATTGTACATAGCATTGAATTTGAGGACTTCATTTGAATTATTACTCCCATCGCAAGATGCATTTTAATATATAGTCTATAACTAAAGTTAATTTAAACACATTAATAATTTAAAAATAATTTTATCAGAATAATTTCCATTCAATAAATGATTAAATTGGATTGGTATATTTTAGTGCCGGCTTCTTTCTCATTTGACAAGTTATAAGAAATTAGTCCAGGTTCCAAAAATTTTATTCTCTGTAAAGCGTTATGTTAGTGTTTCTGCACATATATTTGAAATATATCCAATGAGAATATCTAAATTCAATGTTGGTTAGCATTTTCTAAGACGTGCATGCACACACACGTAACCACGCAAGGTGTCCAGCACATTAAAATTAAAAAGCCTAGCAACGATAGTTTTGGTAAATTTAAAACTCGATTTTCAAAATTCTCCAAGGTATATTTATATGGACAACTTGATTTACTCAAAGTAACTGTTGACAATATATATTTAATCTCTAATCTCTAGTGCATGGAAATTGTTATAAATATTGATTATTATAGTAGTGGCTATGTTTAGATATTGATGAAGAACATGTGGCGGAGGTTACACTTTCATCGTGCATTTTAGTAAAATATACCTCTCTTTCTTGATCACCATTGGAATCCAACATGCTGTCCTCTTCAGAATCTGATTCATTCATTGACGTGTTTTCATCTTCTATCTCTGATAGCTCCATTTCCGTGGAATCTGCTTCAGTCTCTGAAAGAGTGGCTGAAAAATAATCATTGTTTTTTAAGTCACAGATTTTGTTATCTGGAATTCCATGATTCCCTTTTTCACTTGGATCATCCAGCATTGACAAGGGATTTCTGTTGTTTGGATCACCATAAAGGGCAATGTGCCTGTAATATAGCTCTAATTCTTTCTCAGCAATAGCAATGAAGCGCCTCACTGACTCCAGGGATTGCTCATACTTAGACTTTTCAAGTGCCTGAAGGAACAAAAATCATAAGTTATATTAGATTAAACTAGGAATTTTGTATAAAGATTAAATATCCATATTCAACAATTTTGTATGAAGATTAAATATCTACCAAGAAATTTAGGAAGGCAATGATAACAGAAGAATAGTTTGAACACTATAACCAATCAACCAGCCATCGAACTCATTAATTATAGCATGAATCTTCGATTCTCCATGAACATACAGCTACTAAATGCAAACTGGAGATCACTATATTATGTTACACAAAAAAGTATGGCATTAAAAACTATATTCTATAGGTCAAATGCTATGTATTTAAACACTGGAGTAGACTAGCTCAACCCTTTATTTTCTTAGCTTTTCACCCAAGAAACTTTCACACTGCATTCTCCAACTTAACGGCTTTCACACTGTCCTACTCCTGCTTCCAACTTTTTCTTTGTTCATTGCTTGATTTCACAGCTTTCTAATGCCAATCATGTATTAACAAGGAGATGCATAAAAACATGCAGGATGATTGCCCTATAATATATTATGGAATGGAAAGGTCAGATAGTCAAGTTGAGTGTACACAAAGATTAACTATTTCTACGGTATCAGAGGTCTCGTTCTAAACAGAAAGTGATGCATGCAGACTTAAAAAGTTTGAAGAAAATGGGGGGAAAAAAAGATCACCAAGACCAGTAAGTGAACCAAATAATGGCTCGGTGACCTTTAAACTAAGGCTAGTAGGTCCAAAACTACTACAATGATTATAGCTTTATAGCTTTATTGCTAACCAAACTATTCGAAGGTATGACAATTCAACAGCTTCTAAATGGTCTGTATTTATGAAGAACTGCAAATGTCCGTCCATAACATAAGAAAATAATTTTGAATGGATGATACATGTGTGTTAGTGCAATTACACGGGTTCAGTATAATTAAAAAACAAATAGTTTTGCATGCAAGCATACAATGAAGGATTTGGCTCCTCCGATGTGAGACGAGTGTGCGTTTAAAAATAAAGCACACATAGTAACAACTGATAATTTAGAAAATCGATGGTTGCAATTGTGATTGATTCCAGAATTTGTTAAGCATGCATTCGATTTAACGACAATTCTCAATCACCAATTTTTTAATCAACAGTTGTAAGTGCATTTTGTCATCTAAAGTCGGAAACTATAACAAAAATACACAATGCTGGTTCTGATCAATGCTAGATAGGAAAGGTGGAAATTTGTTTTCAACGTATACCACGTTTTGAGAAAGAGTTGCGTGCTACGAACCTTTTTGGCAACGGAGAATGCAGTAAAATATTGAAACAGTTGAATTTCATTTCCAATGCTTTTAAATGACGAACGAAAGCTATAGCAATGGTGCATTTCAGATATTTTCTTTTATAAAGAAACAAAGAAACGCACCTTTTTCTTGGACAGGGTATCAATTGGTGACATAACCTCAGGTTGTTCATAGTTCTTTCCGCGATAAAATATTATTGTGTCATCTCCAATTATTTGAAGTGGAATACCACCACTCAATCTGGCAAGTTCTTGTGCATACTCATGTACTTGACCAGGCTTACAAGGCTTGCATATGACCTTAACAGTCTCGTGTTTCTTCCAATGCATATGCATATTGAGAACAACACCTCCAAACAATCCTCTTCTGCCAATTTGTAGATAATTAGATCTCTTCTGAGCCATTTTCTTCAAATAAAAACGTTCCTCCCCCGTCAAGCCAACAGGCTTTACAACAGGACCCTGAAGTTTAGGAACTTCATATCGTTTGAGCCTTTCAATGAGCAATGCTTCTTTAATTCTTGCCTGGGGTTAAAACCAGAGTCAAGCAAGATTAGCAGAATGTCTAGGCAAATAAGCATTTCAAGAATTTTGTGATTGTTGAAGACAAATTTTCTAGTGTCATCATTTAAACACTATAAATACACAAAATCTTCATTAGAAAATGCTGCAAAGAAATAAGAGATCTATCAGATCAACTAAAGTGACACAAAACCAGGCATCACATATCATGAGTAAAAGTTAATCATACATGCCTCCAAGCCCATAACTGCTACTGTCAAGCTCTGCAAATTGACAATATAACTAGGACAACGGAGGAATTTACCATTGTTTTAATTTCTTTTAAAAAGAAGTATATATCATCTAGAATCGAGAAGTACAATAAAAATAAGATCCTGTAACATCTTTGATATCTCGTGTCAACTATACATAACTATGGCCAGAGTAGAGCTAATAAAGGTTTGAGCAATCCTCATCCCATGAGCTAATTTAGGGGTTTAGTTAGTTCTAACTCAAATTCAAGATAGCATCAGAGCCTATTGTAGATATTATATTAGGCCACTCTCAAATGTCTAAAAATTTACCTGACCCTGCAACTTTCCCAATGCAATTTACTTGGCCCCATTGCTTTCTTAGTTCAATATTGGAAAGAAAAAAGGAAAAGAAAAAAAGAAAAAAAAAAAGAGTTCTACATTTTCCATGCTTCAATCCTTGTGGTGAAGGGGCAAGTTAAGATATCAAATCAACTATAAATATGGCCAAAGTTGAGCTTATAAGGGTTTGGATAATCCTCATTTCATGAGTTAGCTTTTGAGGTTAAGTTAGGACCAACCCAAATTCAAGACAAATCATGTTGATTACTTGATTCTTAGTTTCCCTCAAAGAGAAGAATATACTAATACAATCAAACAAATTTTGAATTTGTTTGAATAAGTTTCTCCATAAATACTTTTAAGAAGAAAAAAAATAGGAAAGAAAAATGAGATAAACTTTTCCATGAAATAATCAGACTCTTAGTTCAATCCGATGGGCCTAAAAGTGGGAAATTTAATCACTTGAGATCCATACATACCATCAACACAAGCAAACAAAAAAGAGGAAATCCAATCATATCTTACTTTTTCAATCTTGTACTTGATCCTCTCTTCTGCACTGGCAAATCTCTGTTTCTTCTTCTTCCCTTTGACACCAAGTCGACGGGGATCTTTCCTGTTGGCCGCTCTCCTCTTCTCTTTCTCTCTCTTCCTCTGCATCTTCAACCTCTTCTTCGTCTTCCACTTGTCTTTCTTCGGAGCCTCAACCTCATGAGTCTCAAACTTGGTCTTCCCTCCCGTTATCACAAGGTTCACCCTTCCATAGCTCAAATCTCTTAAACCCCACCAATAACCCTGCCCTCCAAACGGGACACAGTGCCTCAAAGGATAACACATACGCTTCTGAGTCCTCCCAACTGACCTAGAACACAAAGGAATTAGAATAAAAAGCCCTAAACTTTCAATAACCCAGAACCCCTAGCAAGAAAAACAAAATAACCCAAGTTAGGTGCTTCAATATGTTGTTCATATAAAAGTGTCATAGGTTTTGGGTAGTGACTTAGAAGAAAACTATAATTTAACAAAAAAAAATGCGGCTTCGAGAGGGATGAGAGGGAACCTGGGAGAAGCCGAAAACGAGGTAGCGTACGAGAATCTGAGAGCAATGGAAGCTCTCCTTATGCTGCGGAATAACGAGGTTGCCATTGTTGATTGTTGAAGAAGCGTCTGGTCCCTTGCGTTGTGCTTGTGCAGGGTGTGTTATTGTTGTTGTTGTTCATGTGCACTACCCCTACCCGTGTAATCTCACGAGCATGCATCATTTCATTTGACACGTGGCAAGCAAATATTGGGTCAATTTTAAAAAGTTGACTTTATTCACGAGAGTGTGTCCAATGAGTTTTTGACACGTAAAGAGGGAGTTCGGGATCCATATATGCCTTGCCTTACCTAAATCACTTCCTCTGCGTTCTGATGTTCTCTCTGTAGCACGAAACAGAGGATTCAAATAGTGGCATCACAGACCGTTTCTACCACAATCCAATTTCGAGTGAGTTTTTTTTTTTTTTTTTTTTACAATTTTTTTATTCAATTAGGATGTGTAAATTCTGTTGAGGATTTTGATTCAGCTGGAAATTTAGGGTTTTGCTTTCTTGTGGTTTGGGGAATAACTGCATTATTGGAAGATACCAATCCTCTTTCTTTGTATTTCTACAAAGAATTTCAAAGGGTATGGGGCAAATAACTCAAAATTGAAGCTTAGCGTTGTTGTTCTCTACTATCCTAATACGAGACCTTGTTTTTCCTCTTACACATTTTGAAGGTTGTTGACTTTAGTTGAATCTGTATGCTTACGAATTGATGCTAGAGACGAGGAAATTCCTGTTAATGCTCAGTTTTTTGTCTGATGGAATGGGTACATTGGAAAGAAAAAAACATTCAGGAATATAAAATTCTCGTTTCTCCCGTATGGTTTTAATCAGGACAAAACTTAGATAAATAGGTTAGAACTTAGTTGTGTGTGATGCTGTTATCTGATAAAAACATAGCATGTGTTATTTTTCATAGTCGAGGCATAAAAATAATTTTCATGTTGAATATTTACCTGAGAGGAGCACTACAAGTCTACAAACACTTACTTTGTCTAAGCTCGGATCCAACGTCAAAAATATCCTGTTTCATTAAAGGGAAAATATATTGATAGCGCAATTGCTCACATTTCGTTTACATGTAACATCCTTTTAACTTTTTAAGGAGAGTACTGTACGTGCGTGCAAATCTCCACTCTAATGTGGATGAAATAATTATTTTCAATTTCATTAGTGATTTAAATTTTTAATGGCCAAAGATATCACCGGCTTTAGTACATTTAAAGATTTGATTAGCAATATATTACAGGGCATGTCGAAACTTTGTAAAATTTGGAATGCTTGTTGTGGTAGATAATGGTTGAGTTGCACCCATTTTAACTCCATTATTTACGGTGGGAGAAATTGCGAAGATCTTAATTTGAGACCATATAATTAAGTAACTCATGCTTATTACATGTCACTGATGCCATGGAATGTATTCAATAGATTATCTGCTTGTTGGGATTAAAGTTGGTTATTGTTCACTCATTTTACTGGCTTTGGAGGAATTGTTTTGTTGGAATATATATATATATATATATATATAAAAGATGAATTTGTGTTGGGGTTTCTATATGTAGAATGAGATGAGAATGGTGGAAAAGA